AGATTCCCCTCCCCAAATTTAGTACTTTTTAAATCAACTTATTTAGAGATATGAAGATTATTATTATGGATACACCCCGGTACAAATTTTTCCTATTTACTTAAGGTGCTTTAAAAACAGAAGATATCCTTTGTACCAGAATTAGGTTAATAGTTGCATATAGGAAAAGAAAAGGCATAATAACCTGTTAAACCTTTCATTCTTACCTTTTTTAAAAATTATTTTTACTTTATGTGTATGAGTATATTGTCTGCATGTATGTGAGTGCACCTGTGTCGTGCAATGCCGCGGAGATCAGAAGAGGGCTTCGGATTCCCCTGGAACTGGAGTTAAGGATGGTTCGTAGCCACCATGTGCATGCTGGGAATTGAACCCAGGGCCTCTGCAAGAGCTGTCAGTGCTCTTAACCGCTGAGCCATCTCTCCAGCCCCTCATCTTACCCTTTTGTATTTAATGTTTTATTTTTTTATGCATGTGAGTGTATTGCCTGCATGTATATAAGTGCATCCATGTTGTGCAGTGCCTGTGGAGGTCAGAAGAGGGCTCAAGTCTCCTGGAACTGCAATCACAGAGGTTGTTAGCTGCCATGTAGATGCTGAGAACTGAACCCAGGTCCTCTGCAAGAGCAGCCAGTGCTTCTAACTGCTGACCCATCTCTTTAGTCCCCCTTTTCTGTGTTTATTTGTTTTTAATTGTTTATTTGTTTATTGTGTGTGTGCACGCACATGCACGTGCATGCACACATGTGCATGTGTGCCAAGGCATATGTGTGAAAGTCAGAAAACAACTTTCAAGAGTCAGTTTTCTCCTTCTACCATGTGGGTCCTGGGGCTTGAACTCAGGTTGTCAGGTTTGGTGGTAAGTGCCTTTTCCCCAGAGCCATTTCATCAGCCTTCTTTACTTATCATTTCAAGAGAGGGTCTCATGTAGCCCAAACTGGCCTTGAGTTCACTCTAGCTGAAAATGGCCTATAACTCCTGATCCTGCTTCTACCTCCTTAATGCTGAGATTACAGGTTTGCTTCACCATACCCAGATAAAAATCACATTTCTTTTTGATCAGATTTCCAAATGAAGTGATAAGTGAACTTTTATAACTCTGTAAGAACTTTGTAAATGGGTCAAAAATAAGAAAATTCAATTTTCAGTTTCAAGAAACTTCTTTAGAATACTTACCTAGTCACCATTTAAAAAGCAGTGTTTGCTGTGCATACTGGTACCTTCCTTTAATTCCAGTACTGGGGAGGCAGAGATCAAGGCCAGCCTGGTCTATATAGCGAATTTCAGGCTAGCTAGGGCTACAGGGAGACACTGTCTCAAAAAATAAAATAAAATAAAATAAAATAGAAAAACACATACCTTTAATCCCAGCACTCGGGAAGCAGAGGCAGGCAGATCTCTGTAAGTTTGAGGGGATATTTAAAAGTCTTCATAGATTTAAGTCAATAAGGTACGAGGGGATAAGCAGCTATTTGGTTAACAATGTTCAAAAGGACCAGGACGGAACCAGGATGCCTTTAATCCCAGCACTCGGGAGGCCAAGGCAGGTGGATCTCTGTGAGTTCAAGGCCAGCCTGGTCTACATAATAAGTTCCAGGCCAGCTGGGGCTACAGGGAGACCCTATCTCAAAAAGACCACAAAAAAAATCAAAACCAAAAAAATCCCCAAAGAACCAGGAAAGCTGCTAGTCCATAGCAAGCTGCAAGGTATAGAATATGGCTTAATTCATGCAAAAAAAAACCCCAAAATACAAAGAACTAAAGATCCATCCACAATCCAGGGGGCTGTCCATAAGGACTGAATGGGGAGTGTTTTTAATTAAAAAGAAGTTATGTGGCGGTGGTGCATGCCTTTAGTCCCAGCGCCCAGAAGGCAGAGACAGAAGCATCTCTGTGTGATTAAGCCAGCCTGGTCTACATAGCGAGTGCCAGATCAGTTGGGGCTACAGGGAGACCCTGTCTCAAAAAGACCGAAAAAAAAAATTATGTGTATGAGTGTATTGCTTGCATGTATGTAAATGTACCTGTGTCATGCAATGTCCTTAGGGGTCAGAAAAGGGCATTGAATTTCCTGGAACTGTAGTTAAGGATGATTGTTAGCTACCATGTGGGTGCTGGGAATAGAACCTGGACCCTCTGCAAAAACAACTAATACTTTTAACCACTGAGTCATCTCTCCAGCCCATACGGACTGAATTTGAATAACCATCTTTCATTATAGAAGCTGAATGTTCTATGCAGGCAAAGGCAGTTTTTTTATATTCCTTAAATGTTCAAAATAATAAAAGGAAATTTGAACAGAGAAACACAAACAAAGGTTATACATATGGATGGGGTGGGGAGCAGATTTCAAAAGGATAGATTTCCTGAGACAGACAGACCTTGGATATGATCCTGTCAAGAAATTCTTGTAGTCCTTTTATTTATCCCCACCCCCACCCCAATTTAGTTCCATAAAACTTTCTACAGACAACAAAAAGATCTCAGGCTGAGTCCAAATCATTTGAGAAAAGCCATAGGCTGGTGGCAACTGAGCTTCTGCCAGTCCTAGGGTCAATGAGGCACTTTTAATAAGTCAGTAACCACATTAATAAAACACCTTTTTCAAAAGGTAAGATCAATCAGCAACCATGTCAGATGCAAGATGAAGGAAAGCAGATTCAAGGGAAAGCTGTGCCCAGAGCCACAAACGTGTAGAAGATTCCGCACACCTTTCATTTCTCATGTCAAGCCTGCAAGACTCAGACACCTGTTTGCACGTTATGTTCCACAGGACCTTGGAAGCCTATGAAGCATCTCTTCCAAGGCTCCTTAAAGACAGTGGGGACATTTCTAGTGTGCCTCCTTTCTGTCATTCCAGGTACACAAAAGTATGGTGTTCACAGAATGTAGCTGCTTTCTTTCCTATAGCTGCTAAGCTGTGAGTCAGTGATTTCGTGTATAAATGGCCAGTGATAACGTAGTGGAAACTAACAACATGGGTATGTGACTGCACGCCAGTGATTTGATGTGAGGGTGATTGGTGTTATGTCTTGGGTAAAGATTAGGCTACATAAAAACTTTGTATTCCATACATGTTTTCAATGGGTTGGTATGTTCTGTCATTCCAGGTACACAAAAGTATGGTGTTCACAGAATGTAGCTGCTTTCTTTCCTGTAGCTGCTAAGCTGTGAGTCAGTGATTTCGTGTATAAATGGCCAGTGATAATGTAGTGGAAACTAACAACATGGGTATGTGACTGCACGCCAGGGATTTGATGTGAGGGTGATTGGTGTTATGTCTTGGGTAAAGATTAGGCTACATAAAAACTTTGTATTCCATACATGTTTTCAATGGGTAAAAATGAAGGTTAGTAATCACCTTCCTCAAATATATATATAGTTTGTTTGTTTGTTTGTTGCAGGCACACCTAGTAATTACAAGTAATCTCAAAGTGATTTTATTTGTCTTCTTTTCCTCTTGAGAAATACATCCTGTGTTGCTTGGAGTGGGAAGAATAGAATTTAACCATCACTTTAGCAGAGACACAAAGTCTAAAAGAGAGGAAGGTCAACTTCTAAAAGGGAGAGTAAAGCATTCTAATGAATGAGAAAACTCTCCAGGAAGAAATGCTCTCAGGAGACACAGATCCATATAGGGTACTCTGCATAGAGCCTATTTTCCTGGAAGGCCAGTGTTGCACGACAGGTGAAAGGTTTTGCAGATGCATGGGATGCTGGATCAGGGAAGACTCCACTGATGCTGGTGTGTGGCAGAAAACCCGTCATGCTCTGCTCAGTGCCGCCATGTTAAGGAATAAATGACAGCAAATCATTCATAACATGGCATCCTTAAAAGCATGACTCTCTCCCGGCTCTCTAGACTGACTGGTTAAATATCCAGTGAATCAATACTTGGAAACAACAGGACAGAAACTAAGGTGATCACGAGGAGGACCCAATAAGAGTCGTTCAGTGAACCCACAAGTAACAAACTCTTTTTGAGCCTTTAATCCCAGCACTCAGGAGGCAGAGGCAGGCAGATCACTGTGAGATCAAGGCCAGCCTGGTCTACATAGCCAGTTCAAGGCCAGGTGGGGCTACAGAAAGACCGTGGCTCAAGGGGAAAAAAAGAAAAGAAACTCTTTCTGGCATAATTGCAATAAAGTCTGTAGAGATGAAAATAAAGCAATGAGATTGCTCTTCCTTGCTCTGAAACGCATGTGTGTGCTGGTTCTAAAGGCGATCTGCAGCAGTGTCTGGTTCTGTGTTGTTATTTATGTCGTGGTGGCCAGACAGAAATTTCCATTGAAATGTCCAGAATCCAGGTTTCCTTTGGGGATGTTTCCCCCCTTGCTGTGGCCTGGTCATCATGGTTTCCAAATGGAAGCTTCAAGTTTGTTTCCCCCTCTAGATTCTTGGGGGAATACCTGGTGTTTATTCCATCAGGATACCACAAAGATGATCAAGAAGACTGTGCTGAATAATGCTTAGCATTTATATAGGTTCTTTTGATTTCAAAAACAAGTTATAAATATCCCCTACCATGACAACATCTTTGCGAGGTAGGTGAGTATTACTGTCTACATTAGCAATAGAAACCCAAGGCCAAAGAGTAAAGGATTCTGTTCTGAGCCATGGTGTCAGGAGCCACAGTAGTTTCGGCATCTTGACTACCTGCTCTAGGCTCTGAAGAGGTCACACCTCTCTCATGTAGCAACAGACTCCATTAATACAGGATTATATATTGTATAGATATAAAACAACAACACACAATAACATTATAGAACAATAATCCAATATTTCTGTTTCTTAGTAAAATATGTTAAGCACAGTATTTAAATTGCATTTCTGTGAAAAGCATTTGGTATATTAAATAGCAGAAGGTATATTAAATAGCTCTATAAACATTTGCTGGCATACTCTTAACAGCATAATAATTCTAAATAAATTAAAATCCACCGACGCATAGAGACCTTTCCTTTATAATACCGTAAACCAAAGAATAATTTGGAAAACTACTTTGTTCTCAAAATGCATATATATATATTGCTGGCTGTCCTTGTAAAATAACTGATTTGGGAGGGCAAAGAATGCAAGAGAAAGGCGAAAATTAAAGGCTGCTATTTCCATTTGGTATCCGTTCTGAGGAATTCATACAATTTCAAAAGATGTTATCATACTTGGAACTGATATGGAGCTGAATACAGGGATGCTGCATAACAAGAACAGTCCATGGAAAGAGAAAATTATACCAAATAAAACCTGTGGTATTAGGAGAAAATGAATGGGAGACAAAACCGGGTATTTTCCAGAAGTTGAAGGCTGGCCTGAGATGTAAGCTGTTAATCCTCAGCTAACTGGGTGGGTCTTGGAGATTATTTATGAGGGTGATGGTGAATGCTTGGTTTTGTTAGTGTGGTTTTCAAGGCAAGATTCTCACCTTTCTCCAGCTCAGCCTTCTCAGAACAGCAGTGTTAAAGAGAAGAGCTCACCTCATCCCAGTTCCCCAAGACCAGACCAAGTGGGCCAGCAGGAAAAGTTCTAAAACCAGTAAGGAACAGCAAACAGGAATCAAGGTGTTAAAATCTGTATGCAGATGTAAAAACTAACATCTAAGCCAGGATGACACTCTCTGTCAGAAGTTATAAATACAAAAGTCTTAAATTTAGCGTATGTAGTGCTAAGATACTGTTTGCTAGATATTACATGTCTTTCAGAGAACATTTTTAATAAGTGTGCTTTTTTGTTCCCCCTAAAAAAAGACATAGTAAATCGGGTTCTTTCCTCCAGTCTTTCCTGTGTTGTCTGTCTGTTTGCTCTCTCCTGCATCATGCATTCAGCGGCTCCCTCCCACTTATGTTGGCAGTTTTGTTGGAGGGAGGTTTGAGCTTGGACAGGCTTGAGCAGTTCGGCTGTTTGGTTGGCTGTAAGGTTTTGGCGTAAGGTGAATACCAGTCCCTTTCAAACACGTCTTTAAGTTGCTTGATGATGCTTCTGTTGTTACCCACATCTGCTTGGTTGATAACGAGGCCAGTGCCAGCATTCTGGGTAAAATCATTGCCTACCCAATCAAAATTTCCTGTGAACAAAGAAATCATGGTGAGAAGACAGGGCCCACTGGGAATATTCCCAATATAATGAAGTACAGAACAGATTCTATTTAAAAAAAAAACAGAACAAAACTCATAAACACCCCGGAATAACGAGAGTGGCGGAATTGTGTTGACAGCTCCAGAGGGGAAAAAAATCCCAAGAAGCCTTACATATGGCGTATTAATATTTGCATATTATTTTGGCATTTCTTCAGCTTTGCTCAAGTTGAAACTCAAAACAAGGAATCTGCTGTTCTTTTTTTTGGTAAATGTTATTTCTTATTGACGTTCACAAGACACACTAAATACAGCAACATTTAAAATATATAGGAATACACTTAAAAATCCTGTGAACAATTACTACCTTCTCAAAGAGACAACATTGAATCCATATGTATAAACATTATTATGTGGAGACGCTTTCCCAGCAGAGACAAAGCTAAAGGCAGATAAGTGGCTCACAGACCAAGCTGTAGTGCTCCCTGACTGGGCTGGAGGGAATCCTGGGGTCCAGGGCCAGCCCCTTGGCCAGGCATTGCACAGGCTCTAGGTCTAGTGCACTGTTAGATAAACAGATTACATTTTCCACAAAGTTTCAGAGACCGGTTGGCTTAAACACAACATATTCTCTCACGGTTCTGGAGATGAAATCAAGGTGTCTGTCCACAGGACTGGTTCCTCCTGAGGCCTGAGGGAAGGATGTGTCAGAAGCCCCTCTCTTTGGCTTCCAGGTGGTCCTTTCCATCCTTGTCTCTTGTCATACTGTCTTCTCACTATGCGTGTGCTTATCCAGCTATCCTCATATCTTTGAGACAGGATGTTACAATATAGCCCAGGCTGGCCTCAAACTCATATCAACCTTTTTGCCTTAGCCTCCTGAATTCTGGGATTACAACATGAACCACCTTGCCCAGTCTCCTTTTGTAAAGGACACAGGCCACATTAGATTAGTGCTTACCTTAATGACCTCTTTTTGGATTCTCTCTGTGAAGATCTTATCTCCAAATAAGATCTTATTCTGCCACACTGGGCGCTAAGATTTTTCACATATGGTTGGGATATGCCCCAGAAGAGGCTAATAATAGGTATGTCATTCATGTATAGTTCATCTTCAAGGTGCGGGTCGATAAAAGGGCTGGCAACTCAATTTCTCATATAACTGTTTTGTCTTTGGTATCCATTGTTCCAGCAAAACCAAACTCTCTCTTCAGGATGGCACAGTAAGTTTTATTTTTTGATCTTCTTTGTCCTCTACTGAATGCATGCTCATTGAATACCTAATGTCTACCAGGTCCTATATTAGGAATTGTGAATATAAGACTGAAAATGAAGTCCCTGCTTCAAGGAGTCCAGGAAGGAAACACCGTGATTATAATACAGAGAGTATGAAAGAGTACAAGGGAATTCAGCAGAGTGGCAGGAGCATGGGCTGGAAGGCTTTCTACCCCTGGCTGGATGTGTCAGGAAGAAGCATCCCCTTGAGTAAGGAGGGATGCTTTGGAATTTCATCAGGACAATAGAGATCCAGACTCCAAAGGGAGAATGATATCTTGTGGACAGAGCTAGTATCTGCCTCTTTAGAATTTCATCCATTGTCCCTGTACCACCCTCTGGAGTCCTCAAGCAAATCAACTCCTTTTTCCATATGTTGCCCTCTGAGATACTGAAAGGTGGTTCTTTTTTAAAATTCATTTTGCCCCTTAAGTTTATTCCTCATGGGCAAAGCAAACCAAATCCCTCTATCAAATACCAGCATAGACAAAAGACCTTCTCTCTCTTTCAGCATATACAAAGAGTTCTCTTTTTCTCCCACTTTCCTACCTGTCTACCTACTACCTGCTGCCTCAGTGAACACCAGAGCAATGCCACTGGTGGCCCTGTGATAGGCATATTTTTTGAAGGCTTTTCTGTTATGAATTACCAAACTCTCTTATAAATGGTTACCTAAGGTTGCCAGGGCTGTGTTCCTGACCCAGTACCATTTGTGCCAGATGAATACAGGCTCAGATCTCTAAATTGGGACTGGCAGCTACTGAAGTTGAAAATTACTCAAGAGCCTGCCAGAACACAGCATCATCTGTTCATTCCATAAGCAAACACACCCTGTGGTCGTGTATGACATCCATGGACTTTTAGATACAACATCATCAAACCCTCATCCCAACAGCTAAGTCCCTGCAAGCACCAAAGGCAGAAGTCCCAATCTTATTACATGAGCACATTTGTTATTCATGGCAAACCTCTGCTGGGATAAACTAACTCCACTGTGCTGGTGAAGAAATACAGCACAGAGCTTATTCAAGATAAGAGTAGAAAACCATCAGCTCTGAGGTTCAAAGCCGAGCTGACCTCCACAGCCCAAAGACATCCAATATATACTTCACCCTGGACAGACACTGAGATTTCGCTGTGCACATCAGCAGATCGCACTCTCTGAAGGAAAGAGACATAGAAATCTACTTTGGGGGTAGCCCTGAGAGGAGAAAAGAGGACAGAGAGTGGTGAAGACTTCGAAGCCTTATTTTGTCAATCTTGATTTTTTCCCCCTCCCACACAATGGATGAGCTGTGTATGTTCATGGTTCTCATTCACTTTAGGTGGCCCCTTTGGGGGAATTTAGCTCTAGGAAGCTTTCAGGGCTTACAAGCATTTTGGCTGACCTTCAGGGTGACATATGCTTTGCTATTTTTTCTTTTTTAATCTTAGATACCATTTCACCTGTATCTTTTGAGGCTGCCATTTCAGCTTCTAAAAAATGCACGCTAAGGCTACAGTAGCCAGAACTGTAGTGGGTCCTGGGGGATACCACATGGAGGGTGCCAGAGAGTTCACCTTGTGGATAGGAAGCACAGGGCACCTTTCCAGCCCCTAGAGAAATGATGATGTCTGAGGGTTTTTCTGGAAGTCTTATAAAAATTTAATGAAGCTACAATCCCATGCAAGGGCCTGGCGTGGATTTTTCTTAATTCCACATTCTCATTAAATAAGTAATGACTTGGGTGACTTTACAACATGCTGATAGTTATTTAAGATACCAAGAAATTTACTCTCTTGATGTTTTTTGAATGCTTTTATTCTAGAACTATGCTTTACTTTAGGGAGTTGCTACTTCGCTAAAACATTGTATATAAAATGAACTCACTTAAAAATGTCATAGCTATGGGGCTGAAGAGATGGCTCAGCAATTAAGAGCACTGGCTGCTCTTGCAGAGGACCCAGGTTTGGTTCCGAGGACCCAGGTTTGGTTCCTAGAACCCACATGGTGGCTAATAATTATCTATAATTCTAGTTCCAGGGAATTCAAAGCCCTCTTCTGGCCTCTGTAGGCACTGCACACATGTGGTGCAGTTACATACATGTAGGCAAAATACTTATACATATAAAATAAAAATAAAATAAATGTCTTAGCTAAGGAAGAAGAGAGTAAGCACAACAATGTTTACTAAGGTCCTGGATACATCAGAGTCGGTATTAGGCACTGCTGATACATGACCTTACGTAACCCTCATGCCACCACCAAGGGTGCCTGTTACTGTCCGTATTTCATAGATAAAGAGACTGAGGCTTACAAGAGATTATGCGACTTGCTACCATCTTCTAACTTGTAACTTTTGGTGCTGGAATTCCAATATGGGTTTTCTGTTTCCAAAACATTTATTTAGTTCATCTGAAGAACTTTTGGCTATCAGTTGGGCCATTTCAAGGTTGATAAATATTAGTTTATAAACTACCACTAGCCAACAACCAATCTCAGCTCAAAATGCTAGTCTCCTCTTTGGTTAAGTCACCCCTGAATGTGTACACATCACCTTACTTTAACAAACTCTACAATAAAATATCTTGATTTTGGGTTTTAAACTACTGTACATAAGACTGGATCCATTCTTAAGTTTTAGATAATTGAACCAAAAGTTCCTATTTTTTAGTAAACAGTTTTGAACTGCTTTGAAAAGAAGATGATTTCATTATATTTTCCATAAGCTGAAATATTGTTTTAAAGATATTTATTTTATTTTTGATTAAGTGTATATGTGCGTGTGTGCTCATGTGTCTGTGTCAGTACGTGTGGGTGTGGGTGCCTAAGGATGGCATCGGATCCTCTAGAGCTGGAGTTACAGGCAGTTGTGAACCATTTGATGTGAGTACTAGGAATGGAACTCTAGTTCTTTGCAAGAGAAGCCAGTGCTCTTAACCATCAAGCCATCTCTCCAGCTCCACATATTTAAGAAATATTCTAATGCATTATTTTAATAAGTAATGCCATAATTAGAAGCAATAGGGAGAAGCTGACATCCTCACACTGAGATGACAGTGACACTGTGGCCTGGACTCTACACCCAGCCCTTCCCCTTACCCGTGTCTCTTCCTGCTCCAGCCCTCATGTCCGCACTTCAGTGCAACGACAAACACTGTCATCTCCTGACAGTGATGCTAAAAAGACCAAATAAGGCAAAGTGCTTCATAAAGTTAAGGTTATTATTATTATTATTATTCACCAACTGAATTTGGAAAAAAGAAACGATACAGTCTCCATATTTATTCATACATCCCACAAATGTTTTTCTTTTCTGCTTTGATGCTGCTACTTCCTCTGAATAATTACCCTGTTACTTCAGAATTTCTATGTCTTCTTTTTATAGATAATGTCAGTTCTATCTGTGATCTGTGATGACTCCAGTGGAGGAATTGCCCTGACTTCCTACATGCTGTGTCAAGTTAGAATAGACTTGATCTGTTAGGAAGTAATTCTACCAATATAATAACTTATGCACCTGAAACTTTACTGTCTTAATAATAATAACAAACATCAATTGGAAATTATCCAGGTGCCAGGTGCTTCATGTGTATTATCTCTCATTTAAACGTCACTCTGAAATAAAGACTGCCACAAGCCTCATTTTACAGAACAGCAAATTGAAGTTTAGGAAGTTCCAGGTGATGGTTCCAAGTTAGATATTTAGAAAATGCCAGGGATATCATTGCTGCCTAGACTATGAGTCCTGGCCCTGAATGACTCCCCGTGGCCACAAGGTAGGATGCCGTGTGGTACTGTAGGCAGAAGACTGAACACTGTGCTTGTTCAGTGCTGGACTCACCTCTGATGAGCCTTTTGCCTCCTCATCTGGAAAATGAGACACACGGACCAGATAATTTCTGCAGAACTTACATGGAAAGTTACTGCCTGTGATCTCCTAGTCTACTAGGCAGGCACGGAGTTTCTATCTGGCTGAAGAGCTCTTTGCCCTGCTTCCTACCAACACGTGCCCATCAATAGCCATGGCTCCCAGAGTGCCACCTTCTCCCCTCAGGGTCCTGCAGGGCACAACTGAACCACCACTGTCTGGGTGACCCCCAGGAGCTTTTCAGCCATGACACCTACCAATGTAAGCTGCACCATCTGTCACCATGTACTTGTTGCGATTTAATTTAGGAAAGGTATGATTCTTTTGTTCTTTTGTTGCGCAAGCATTCTCTCTTTCCAGATCAAAAAATTTCTGTTAAAAAAAAAAGAAAAGCTGGTCAATTGAGAGTGTTTGGGGCCTTGTTCAAGAGCACAAAGGAGTGTATTATCCAAATATCAACAACAGACTTCATACTGGGTTATTGAAATTACACTCTTGTTACTTTGTATAGAGCAAGGTATTTCTGCTCTCCGTCTGTATAGGCAACGAGAAAGAAAATTAGCACGCTCAACTAGCTCTATAATTAACACTGTTAAGCTACTAAATGAACATAAAATTCATTCTTTGAACCGAGTGAGGGCCAGAAGGTTGTTTAATTCTGATTGTCTTATTCAGCAGGGTGCACTGTCATTTGGAGCCTGCCTCAGGGCACTTTATGCCACACATGCCAGCAAACTGAATGAATATTCTTACATGGTGCATACATTATGTCAGCGACTAGCTGATTCAATGGGGAATCTGCATAGGTCAAAAGAAATTTGCCATAGGAATGAATAGCTTCCATCTAAACACCTAAGTCTATAAGCTTTTAAAATAGGCAACTGAAAAGAAACAGACACACACACACACACACACACACACACACACATACAAAGCTACAACTTCCTAAACTATGAATCTTGACTTACAACTTCAATGTGACTCCAAAAACCAGCATTGGGGTTCACCCAAGGCCAGAGATGGAGGAGCTTGGAGAGTGCAGCCTGATGGCTGGGGTGGGCAGGCCTCAAGAACTAGGCAAGTGTTGCGTGAGGCATCCACTGTGAATGTGACCCTGGTACTCTGAAGGTTGAGTCCACAGGAGACATCCATCAAAGTTAAGGGTCTCAGGTCTCCACTATACTGAAGAAGGAAGATTCTATAATGTCTTACAGCTATAGTGTCTTGTGTGGAAAGAAAGAAGACACAGAGAGAAACATGAGAGGGTGTTCAAATCTGTTTGGGAAAATATTTAGAGTTTATCTCCTCTTATACTGTATGCTAAAAAAGGGGTATCCTGGTGATCACTAAGGGCCCTTCCAACTCTGTTCTGGGGGCTGGAGAGATGGTTCAGCTGTTAAGAGCACTGGTTGCTCTTGCAGAGGACCCAAGTTTGGTTCCCAGCACCCATATGGTGACTAATAACCATCCCTAACTCAAGTTCCAGGAGATCTGATACCTTCTTCTGACCTCCAAAGGCAGTGCATGACACAGGTGCACATATACATATGCAGGCAATACACCCATACACATAAAAAAATTTTAAAACTCTATCTTGACTGGGCATGGTGACATGTACCTTTAATCACAGCACTCGGGAGGAAGAGGCAAATGAATGTTTGTGAGATTGAGACCAGTCTGGTCTACATAGCAAGTTACAGGCCAGCTGAGGCTACAGGGAGACCTTGTCTTAAAACAAAACAAAGCGAAACAAAACTATTTTGAGCTTTATCTGGGAGAATACTGTGACAGACAGCAGGAATCAGATCTTATTCACTGACATTGTTAATATGTTGGAAGAGACAGTAAAGACATTTCAAAAATGATGTCTCATTTATCAAATATGATAATTCAAGTCAACTGTGACCATCATCTAAGTTGCAATCTCTCCACGATTTCTTCAAGGAAACAAACCCACATCCGGGCAAGTGACAAGTGCGTCTGTCCCCTTTTCCAAGGACAGACTCTCTGCCTTGTCCCAGGCCATCTATCTTTCTTGTCAGGGCCCCACGCCTCCTGAAGACATGCTGTATCCAAGGTTTCAGCATTAGACTTTTCTTGGAAGAGCTCATTAGCCATCTGTGTTCTATGTGTTTGGGGCCATAAGCTTCCTTCCCACCCAGGCTTGTCTTGACATTTAAAAATACATGGCCTCTGTTTTATAAAATGGCCAGCAGTGAGCTATTAATGTTCAGTTTATTCAAGATTCATGACCATCTGTGTTCAAAACAATGAAGCTGATGAAGTTCTTTAAAGGCTACAGTGATGGAGAGACTCCACCGTCCTTGTAATTTCATCCAAACTTTAAGGAGGAGACTTAGCATTCATACTCCAAGTGGATTTCAAATGCCAGAGCCTTAGAAGCAAATGTTCTGTGGGGTCAGGAAACAGCTTGGTGGGTCCAGACCCCTGACTTGCCTGAAGGGGCATCAAAAGTAAAGACAGGAACAAATGTACCATACTGTGCCCAAGCTCCTGGAAACCTTGTGAGCATGACATCAGATTCCCTGACTTACACATTGACCTTCAGAATACATGATGCTCACTGGGGACACCAGCTCACAGAGATGACCAAGAAAAAACTGGGCAATGTTGGCTCCACAGGAGGGAATCTACATTTGGTACTGTAAACTTAGCCAAAAGCTTGTGTCTGGGGAGGTCATAGGTCTTACTGGGGATGCCGCTGCTGCTGTTTTAATGTCAAATTTCCTTCTAAAGAACTATTTATGCCCACAGATTAGTGCTGCTATCAGCTTTGGTCAGAGAATCTTCCTTCTGCAGTGGTTAGTGGTTACTATAGAAACTCATAATTGATCAAATACTGAGAATAAATGACTTGAATGTCCAGCCATAAATGGGACATCTATATCACCTCCTCCAAGGCTCAGGGAATACCATATGGAAGAAGGGTTGGAAAGAATATTAGAGTTGAAGGAGGAGGAGAGTGGGAGAGAACACCAGCTTCTCGGTATGACACGGCTGTTGTACTCTTGAACTTGCAACAGGTCTAATTATCTGCACAAAGTTTCCTCAGGACTAGGCCTGTCAACACTGTCATGGAAGGGGGGGGCAACATGGAGTCCTACCCTCCCTGATGATTTCTATGCAGTTCATCATGGTTGGTGGGGGAGCAGCATTTTCTTCAGTGCTGTAGCCTCTGGTACAGTGCAAATCCTCCCGTAAACAAATTCCTACCCATGTTTCTGTAGACAACCACAATGAAACTCATTGGGGAAAAAGTAAAAAAGGCCTGGGCACTGTTCTGAATTTTCTGTTTCCTCACTGTTGTACAGAGCCTTATCGCTGCCTTTCCCCATTCTCTCACACTGCCTTCACTGTGCACACACCAGTTAAGCATGTGTTTTGGACACTACTGGCCTCCTGCCAGGCACTGGGAATGGATGGTGACTAGACTTGGCTAATCTGATTCCCTTGGAGTCCTGAATATCATGTCAGTTATCCAGATAATGCTATCCCCGAGCTGAAAGAACCCCAACATTTGTTTGTCTGTGAAGAGTCATTAAGCATGGCCGGGTACCCTTCAGGGTCTCTGCCTGGCTCCTTGTAGCAATCTCTGCTCTGTGCCTTAATATTCCATTCCAAATGGCAGTTGGCATCTTTACCCATCCTGGGTATTTTGTGTATTTTCAATTCTGGTGTAGAAGACAGACCAGTGGTAGTAACCACAGACCTGTTTTCATATTTCCAGTACAGTGGTTTGTGAACCCACAAACATAGGGATAGGTGCTTAAAAAAAAATAAGCAGTTGAGTAGAGATCTATACAGAGGCTAGGGTGGAAGGCTGAGGGTTCTCTGGGTGGGAATGGGTGCTGATAATGTCAGACCATGATGATCCACAAACCTGTTCCTTTGTCTCTTCTGCCCTTCTGAGCATGCTTATAATCCTTCCTTACCTTTTGGTGTCACCCTATGAGTGATGTCTGGGTAATGGAATGAAAGTTAAATGAATGCACACCATCTTCAAGCCTAACCATCAAATATCCTACCAGTCTCTTCTCCTGTTTGGTTTTGGGATTTTGAGGGTCAAGGCCATGCTGGAAGCTGAGAGTCAAGACTGATAGTGCAGAACCTATCATTCTGTGTGTCCCCAAGTGCTTCAAAAAGCACAGCTCAGGGCTGGAGAGGTGACTCTGGTTAAAAACACTAGCTGCTCTTGCAGAGGGCCTGGGTTCAATTCCCAGCACCCATAAGGCAACTAACAATGGTCTGTAACTCCAGTTTCAGGGGTATCCAACACCTCCTGATCTCTGCAGGCCTTGCATGACACAGGTGCACTTACATACATGCACACAATACATCCATATACATAAAATAAAAATAATAGCTTTTTTAAAAAAAGCACAGCTCAATCTTGTAAAAGAGGACCTGATACACAGTGGGGTCTCAGCACACAGCTGTTGCATGCATAGTAGGGACCTGGTTTGAAAAATGGAAGCCTAAAGGATTACTGATCATCAGTCAGATGAAGAATGGAGAAAAACATTGTAGATGGAGGGAACAGCTCATATTAAGGTCTTAAGGGGAAAAGGGAAGAAAAATCAGAGAAGAGCTAGAGAGTTAATGTAGCCCCTTTAGAATGCACTATAGCTTGAATATGAACTGTCTCCCATGGACTCATACATTTGAGTACTTAGGCCCCAGCTGGTGGCACTGTTTGGGAGAATGTGGCCTTTAGGAAGTAGGGTCAACCTGGACAAAGTGAGTCTATGGGTTATAGCCTGCTCCTAGGTACTGCGCAAACTCTGTGCTTCCTGCTAGGCTGAGATGTACCAATTCCAGCTACCAATTCATGTCAGCATAGTTGGGGCCCCAGCCACCAGCTGTGGACCCAAATCAGTCCTTCCTCCTTTAAGTTGCTTTTCATCATGTATTCTGTCACAGGAATGAGAAAAATAAGTAAAACAGGGCATTGCCAATTCCCCATCTTCCATCTTGCCTTCCCACTGGGAATCTAGAGGTTGAGAGCACATAGCACAAGGGACCTGAGCAAGCACAGGAGCCCTGGCTAACAACACCTTGGAGCTGGACCAGGTAGTGTTGATGCATGCTCCAGTGCTTTCTTTGGCAGTGTTACAAATAAGATTAGTAGGTGAATGAAACAGTTCAAGTAAAATGCATTTGAAGGGCCTGGGAGGTGGCTCTGTGGGTGAAGTGTTAGGTGTGTAGGCATAAGGTCTGTGTTTGGATCCTAAGCACCCAAATAAAAGCCAGGCAGGTTGCTGTCTATATATAACATTAGTGCTGAGGGTGGATGGAGACAGGAGGCTTCTTGGAGCTTGCTGGCCAGCCAGTGTAGCCACGACAGTGAGCTCCAGGTCGAGACTCTGTCTCAAAATAAAGTGAAAGCACAGAGGAATATGACTGATGACCTCTGGCCTCTACATGCATACACACATACACAATACACACACACTGACAAAGGAAATGGGTTCTTATTCTCTTTGTTTTGTGTGTGACTGGTTTGAAAAATAACCAATCTTTTGAAGTATTTTCACCATTAAAGATTGTTAACCTGATTCTTACTGAAAATTCCCTATGCTGGCAATTTTCATAGACATGGAAAAGGGAATAAGTCGTTTTTTCAATAACCCAGTCAGCATATAATACTTACAACTTTCAAACTGCAGTTGGCTATTTCAGTGCAAATAGCTTTAAGAGATGAAATAAAGTTAAATGTGAGGGGATCGGTTTCCATCCAGAAGCTTATGAGGAGTCGAACTTTAACGCTCCGTAAAACTAATGCTTCTCTTATTTTTCCATCCAAGTCTGGCCAGTACGTCCTGCAGAAGTAGTACACTGTTAGATAACAATAAAGAAAATAGTTTTGAGTTTGAGAAAGAAGTTTACTAGATAACAGAATGTACTTCTATTACTTAGATTGTTACTGTTTTCTGTAAACATACAAGCTGTCTTGCAGGATAGGTTGATACAAGCCTTTTGAGTTAAGCACTGTCCTGATTTGCTTTCTGTTGCTCTGATTAAACATTGACCAAAAGCAACTTGAGGAGGAAAGGGTTTATTTGGTTCATAAGTCCATCACACAGGGACGCTAAGGAAGGAAGTCAAGGCAGAAATCTGGAGGCAGGAACTGAAGCACAGACCATGGAGGAACACTGCTTGCTGGCTTGTTCCCTTGGGCTTGCTTAGCTGCCTTTTTTATAAAATACAGCTCAGGGGATTAAACATTGACCAAAAGCAACTTGAGGAGGAAAGGGTTTATTTGGTTCATAAGTCCATCACACAGGGACGCTAAGGAAGGAAGTCAAGGCAGAAATCTGGAGGCAGGAACTGAAGCACAGACCATGGAGGAACACTGCTTGCTGGCTTGTTCCCTTGGGCTTGCTTAGCTGCCTTTTTTATAAAATACAGCTCAGGGACGTGCCTGGGGATGGTATTGCCCACCATGGGCTGGGCCCTCCTACATCAATTAGCAATAATGAAAATATCTCACAGGCATGGCTACAGGTTAATTCGATGGGGGAAATTACTCATCTGAGGTTTCCTCATCCTAGGTGACTCTAGTTTATGTCAAGTCGACCAGCACAGTCAGCAAGAGACAAAGCTGTCCTGGGACTCATTACTACTTTATAGATCTCAGGTCCACTGGGTGAAGCTCTGTGCATCCAGGGTGCAGAAGGACTGACTTTCACCATAGGCTTCCCTCAATTTACCCCCAACACTATCTAGGCCTTAATTTGGACTAAGCATCCCACTTTGAATAGAATTCCAGATAGGAGCCTCATACGCCTCTTCCGAGATGCTGTTCCAGCCTCTCTTCTTTGATAATGCCTCCCGAATGAGCTTCTGCTCTGGTTATCTGAGCTGTTCATGCTCTTATTTCCAGATTGTCCTTAGCACTATCTCTCCTGACCCAGGTGTGTGTTTAGGTGTGTGTGTGTGTGTGTTTTAAGAATCACAATCTATGGTTCTTTTTTTTTTTTTTTTTTTTTTTTTTTTTTTTGCCTTGATTACACTCTGATTCTTCCAGAGGCCCATGGCTTCTCAAGTCTTGCTATGCATTTTCTATTATTAACCACTTGGTCACTTGCCTTAAGGTGTAGGTATAGACTCCTGCTGTATGCACTCCTTATCATGTCACTTCCAGAGCTGTAACTTTAAGCTCCCTGCCCCCCCTCTTTTTTTTTTTTTTTTGTCTTTTTGAGACAGCATCTCCCTATAGCCACAGCTCACCTGGATTTGCTATGGAGACCAGGTTGGCCTCAAACTCAGAGATTCACCTGCTTCTGCCTCCTGAGTGCTGGGATTAAAGGTGTTCACCACCATGCCTAGCTAAGCCCTGTCTCTTAATCACATTAATTAGCCCTGGGTGTGGTGCAGATCTGTGGTCCCTCCAATGTCCCTGCTCCCTCAGCTCCTTCTGGTTTCTTTTTTCTGGCCAGCTCAATTTTAGCTCTGATCACCAGCAGATCACTTCTCCCTCTGCTTCTAAATCCTGGGTGATATCAAAATTCTCTCTATTTCTGTACCCACAAGGTTAGGGACTACTGGAAACGACCATATCAGCCTTGTGTTCCAAATAGGTTCCTCTGCCTCTCCCCTTGGCTCTGTCAAACGTGCCTCCATTACTACTAAAGTGACTGTATAAAAGCAGGAGTGGCCTTGTGTGCTGGAACGTTGTCACCTGTCAACTTGATACACCTAGGTAGAGGTAACATCAATTGAGGAATTTCCTTCATTGGATTGGCCTGTGACTATGTCTTTGGGGCATTTTCTTGATGGTTGAGTGATGTGGGAGAGTCCAGCCCACTGTGGGTGGTGCCACCCCTGGGCAGGGGTGAGCATGGGCCAGAGGAGTATACCAGTAAACAGCATTCTTCCTTGGTCTGTGCTTCAGCTCCTCCCTCCAGTTTCCTACCCTGACTTCTCTCTCTGACAAACTGTGATCTAGGAGATATAAGGTAAAATAAGCTCTTTCCTCCCAAAGTTGGTTTCCCCCCTAAGTCAGTGTTTTTATCACAGCAATAGAAAGGAATTAGGACACCTTGTTACTCCTTTCTATAAAACACCTAGAGCCTCCAAAGTCACAAGACTCTCCAGTAACCAGCCCCTGCCTTCTTTCCAATTTGGTCTCTCACTACCTTACCCAGGGGCTTTGGGATCTTGCATTGAACTTGGCAGGTCTTTTTCTCCTCCTAAAACTTGGCTCACATGACACCTTTTACCTGGAAAATTCCCTTTCCCACTGTTTTCTGACTTTTGTGAATGATATGAAGTAAAATTTAGGTGATAATCCTCTAATAAGCTTCCCTTAACCCTGGGATGGCCTCACAGATGTCCTTTCTCTATAAGGTTCTCTATATACATCTTCTGTTCCATTTACACCACGGTGTAATAATCTTTCTTGTATCTATCTGTCCCCTTCAGATGGCATTCTAGGGATCACATGCTGTTCATGCTTTAATCATAATACATCTCAACAAATATTTGTTCAATTAACACACGAATAAAAACTATTAGTACAGTATTTGCCCCTGTTTATTGAGGATACTTTCCAGGATGCTCAGCGGAGGGCTGAAAACTACAGACAGTATTGGACACTACACATTCCGTGTTCTCCTACACAAACAGACTCATGTTAGTTTAAAAAAATCCAACAAAATAAGATATTGTTAACAACCTCTAATAATAAAATAGAACAATTCTAGCAATATGCTATAATAAAACCTATTTAAAACTTACAAATTGCTTTTTCCTGGCACTCTCCATTTAACATTTTGAGACTGGTTGATCTGTGAAAGTTGAAACTACAGAGAGCTAAAACTGCAGGAGAATTCCTGAGCCTCAATGGTGCATCAGGCAGCAGATTCACCAATTCTTCACACATTTAAGTATTTCCTTCTGAAAGATGTATTTCACATGATTGAAGAAATAAATCATAGGAAACCTCAATCAGACCTAATGGTTAAGTTAATTACTTAAAAACTTTGATTGTTCTAGCAGTAACAAGTGAATTGGGCTTTTTTTATAATATAATAAAAAAGATTTATTTTATTTTTAATTCTGTGTGTGTATGCATGTGTGTCTATGTTTGGGAGTTCATGAATGTCTGAGGAGGCCAGAAGAGGGCACTGGATGCACTGAAAATGGAGTTACAGGTGGTTGTGAGCTGTCTGATGTGGATGTTGTGAATGGAGCTTTGGTCCTCTAGAAGAGCAGTATGCACCCTCTCCAGCCCCTTAAATGGAATTTTTTTTTTTTAAATTTTTTGAGACAGAGTCTCCCTGTATCCCTAGCTGGTCTAGAACTTAGTAAGTAGATCAGGCTGGCCTTGCTCTCACAGAGATCTGCCTCCCTCTGCCTCCTGGGATTAAAGATGTGCACCATCACATCTGGCTTAAATGTAATCTTTAAAATAATTTTTTAGGTTAGTGTGGTGGTTTGAATGAGAAATGTCCCTTACAGACTCTAAGTGTTTGAATACTTGGCAGTTGGTGGCTCTGTTTGTGGAGGTTTAGGAGGTGTGGCCTTGGTAAAGGAAGTGCATCACAAGGGTGGGATTTGAGAGTTCACAGCCTTGTCCCACTTGCAGTGTCTCTCTGCTTCCCATGCCTACCTGAAGGTGTGAACACTCAGCTTTCTGCTCTGGCTGCCTCATTCCACACCATGTCCTCACCCCCATAATGGACTCTTATCCCTCTAGTACCATAAACAAGATAGACTCTTCCTTCTATAAGTTGCCTTGCTCATGGTGTTTTATTTTAGCAACAGAAAAGTAACAAATACAGTTAGCATACAAAGTCATAGGCGATCATGGCAGCTTCATACATAGGTGCCATTAAACTTCATTCTCATTCATTATTTTTGGTTGCTGTTTGTGGTGCTGAGGAATAAACCCAGGACCGGGCAAGTGCTCTGCCACTAAGCTGGATTCCCAGCTTCTGATTTTTTATTGCAGGATTTATTTGGTCACACACCATTGTTCCATTCACTTCCTGTTACCTTGAAAACTAGAAATTTGAACATTACCTCTAAGAGGCGGGGTCTATTTAGATCATTTCTGATTGGAGAGTGCGTGACTTTTCTTTCATTTGAATATCTGGCAGTGAGGAGACTAAAAGTTAAGTCTGTAAGATAGTAATAAATTCCGCAAACACTGAATTCATTTCTGAACTTCTCTTCTGGGATTATATAAACACGAGTCCTGTATGACTTTAAAAAAAACTTTATTCATACGATTAAGAGGAAGTTAATTATAATCTGAATGTTTGAACTGCTTATCACTCCTTGATGATTTTTAAAAATTTGGTTTAGAAAGCTGAAACTATAGATTTGAATTTTATTTTTATTTTTATTTTTCACCCATGTTCCTAGTAACTCCAATAAGCTTATTTAACTGATGCAGTGGACTTGAAAGAATCCTTCTTTGGTCTGCTGGTTCCTTCTGTGTTTGAGGTGAATGGATCCTTCTTTAACTAATTCTTTAGGTCAGAATACAAATAACAGGTTTCATCACAGGACCTTCAATACAAAATGAGATGCATTCTTTTGATAACAGCTGAAATAATAAATAAGATACAATATTTCATATCAGTCTCTAGCTTTCTAGTTCTTTAACATTTTTTAAAATCTCTCCTTTAGTTCTAAGAATTTTGTTTGTTTCTGAGACATTTCACCTTGTAGCCTAGCCTGGCTGTAAATTACATGACCCTGGCTGATCTTGAATTCACAAGCCTCCTGCTGTAGCCTCCCAGGTACTGGAGTTATGGGTGTCATAATCACTCATAGCTTTATTTCTAAGATATTTTAGATTGCACATTATAATTGTTCCCCCTGGACCATGAAAGGTATCAGTTTTGCTCATGGGACTACATGAAACAAATTTTCATTAGTCCTGAAAAACTATCAAGCTAAATCCCCATGAACTTGACCTCTATTCTTAGTAAGAGGGCAACCAGACAAAATGTGTTGTATTTCAATATCTTTCCGAAGGAAGCTGATGTCTAAAATTGAATCTAAAGTCAAATCATGAAGATGAAGGAGGAGGGTGGGTGTAGTGGTGCATGCCTTCAATCCCAACACTCTGCACTCCAAGGCTGATGTGCAGCTCAGAATCCTACCCCTGAGAAAATGTTGTCCAGCCTTAGAGGAGTAAGGTAGCACTGACTGCAGCACTTTGTACACTGGGGAGTTGTTCTGTAGCCATTTTCCATGAATTGAAATATTCATTTTGGAAGGAGGTAAGAAGTTCATGTGATTAACAAAGCAGAGGCAGGAGAGAAAAACTGAAGATTGACAATGTCTGTATCCAAGGCTATCTAAGCAGTAACAGGAACAGAAAGAAAGGTAAGTGTCAGCAGGGCCTCTGCAAGCTGTGCAAGCAGAACTCAAGGGAAGCAGCTTTTGTTAGCCGTCACCCATGCTGGGGTAGTATTTGGGATGATGGCAGTTGCCATTCAATCACCCACACTCCCATAAGTAGGCACTCACCCATATTCCTATGTTACTCCACTGATGGCTTTGATTCTCAAGCTAGACTTGGGTGCAACTGTTTGTTTGGTCTACAACTGGTGTTCTAAGTGGAGAAATTGCACATTTTTTCATGTCTCCCTTAAAAAAGATAAGTCACCAAAGAGAAGTGTGATTGTTTCAACCTAGGCTTTAGAAGATGTTATCGAAAGCTTCATTCACAAGTTCAGAAGTAACATAGTTCCGGTCTAACACAGATATTGCTCTAGTGGGAACATGGGAGCTGGGCCAACTCTGAGACCCCAAACTATAGAGCCCACAGGAAGCAGTAACAGCTGGCGATAATCACGGACATTCCTCTATAACATGAGAAATGACTGTACTCAGGAAAGTTGTCAAAATATCAGGTAGGGGACTGGAGTGATGGCTCAACAGTTTAGAGCACCAGCTGCTCCTGCAGAAGACAAGTGTTTGGTTCCCAGCATCCACATAGTTGCTAACAACCATCTGTAACTCCAGTACCACGGAATCTGATGCCCTCTTCTCACCTCCTTGGGCATTGCATGACATGGTACATTTACATACATGCAGGCTATACACTCATACACATAAAATAATAAAATAGGGGCTGGATAGATGGCTCAGCATATGAACTCTGGTTGTTCTTGCAGAAAACCTAGGTTTGAATCCCAGCGCCCATATGGCAGCTAACAACTGTCTTAGCTCCAGTTCCAGGGGATCCGATGCCCTCTTCTGACCTTAGTGGACATTGCACAACATGGGTATACTTACATACACGCACTCATACACATAAAATAAAAATAATAAATAAAATATTTTTTAAAAATAATTTAAAAAGTTTTCTTTTGAAATAATTTTCGAAGTGACTACTTGGTCTTCTTTCTGAAATTGCTCTCATGCCTCTAGAATAAACTAGTGAGGTATTCCTGCAGGGTGAGATTCTAAGCTTTCAAATGGGACCCACTTGGGGAGGAATGCATGATGGGAAAGTTGCAAGTGCACACCAGGCACGCTGGAAGAGCATGTCCTTCCTGATACAGTATGGTGCACCTCAGAGTTCTGGGCCCACTGGGCCCCAGGGTAGAGGTTGGCCAGCTGAAAGTCCCTGACCTTTTGGTGCTGGTGCTGGAGATAGGCAGGTAGTCTGTGACGGCGATGTACACGTACTGTTTGGCATCATCAATCACGCTGTAGATGGCATCGATGTCAAAGCTTCTGTTTTTAGGGCAAAAGAGTTTGGGAGAATTCTGTGAAGATACAAAACCCAAGATGTTAGAGCATAAATGGTGAGCACCTAAGGATTGAAAATGTTTGCGTGTCTTGGTAGGTCTCAGTGTGTAACTAAATTGAATGCAAAACTAATATCTGATTCTTGATCAGATTACATAAAGCTGTTTTGTGACTTATCAAAGCTGAGGCATGGAGATGTCAAGGTGAGACAGAATGTGTCTCAAGTCCTTGAACTCTGTTTCAGGAGACAGTTTTTGTTTTCAGTACACACACCTTGCTACCTTAGAGCGTCATTACAGCCCCAGTTGTATGTGATTCTAGGACCCCTCCCTGTCGTACATGGTTGATAATTTTTTCAAGTATTATCTGTATACTTACAAATACATATAGCAAGCAATTTATTTCAGAAATTATTTCATTGAGAAGTGATGAGACCATAAAACCATTCAAGACATAAAATCTAAAAATCTTATTTTTCCTCTGAATCTTTCATAAAGTCAGGAAGAGGAGTGTTGATCATAAAGAAGGTCACTGAGAATACTTCACGGGAGACCAGGCGAGTTATTGTGTGCCCAAATCCATCAAGAGAGCCAGAGAAGGAGGATATTCTGCCAGACATCAGCAAAATGCAGAAAGGGGAAAATCATGCTAGAGGTATTTTTTTTCATGTTTGAAGTTTCCATCTTATAAAAATAGGATGTTTTTAGATGCAGTTGCTATAGCAAGGGAAAGACATACTTTAGTTTCTTCATTATTTTCTCACTGGAGAGGATTGAAAAGAGTGTTTGCTGTCTTTCTCTGACAAGCAATCCTCTGTGGTAAGTCTGGGTACACAAAAAGCTGGATAAACAATTTCTGGAGCTTCTTAGAATAAAGGGCAACACTTAGGGAAAGAGTCTCTAAATCATGTCTGCCCTAATTGCTCACTTTGTGTTGCTGGGAATCCCATTTTGTGGTATGGGTTCATGGATGAAGCTACTAGGATGGATGCCCACCCTGGGAGGGACAAGGGGGTAAAAAGGAGCATGTGGAAGGTCACATACTCTGTAGGCATCCCTGACCAGAATGTCCTTTGATGGTTAATAGTGATGCTGACTTGTCAGGATCTAGAATCACTGAAGAGACAGCCTCTAGGCATGCCTCAGTGGGATTTTCTAGATTAGGTTAATGGAGGTGGGGAGACCCATTCTAAATGTGGGTGGCACCTTTGTGTAGGCTGGGATCTTGGACTGTTTTCTGACTGTGGATGTGATGCGAACAGGTGCCTCATGCTCCTGCCACTATGCCGTCTCCACCATGATGGACTGCCCCTTGTACTGTAAACGAAACCAAACCCTTCTCCCTTCGTTTGCATTTGTCAGGCATTTGGACAGAGCAGTGAGAACGGTAACCAGTAAAGTCCTCTTGGCAGGTGATGGGCAGGGCGAGCATTTGATTAGCTATTATTATTTTTGCAATGAGGATAGGCTTCCATGTTTTTGTGATAACAACAAAACATACATTCACTCCAAGGACAGCAGAACGAGACACCTGCACTCTTTCCCCAGCACACATGCAGGTGATACTCTGTCACCTAAGCAGAAAGCTCCTGCCTCTTTGGGGCTTCTGATATCTTCTGATCCTCTTACTCCTGATTCCTGTTTGTCCTACTGGGTCTGTGCTCTTGATTCCAATTCAAATAGTAGCTCCTCTATGAAGCTTTTTTTTTTTTTTTTTAAAAATCCCCCATCAGAGTTTGCTTCTCCCATCTCTGTGCA